AAAAAAATAAAGAACAATTTCCTAATAGAGTGTTCAGAATAAATCTTGGATCAGAGGAAAAATTGTTGTAGAAACCTTTTTTTTTTCTTATCTAACCAAGAATCGTAAGTAAAGTTCTCGACTACTTTCATAATTCTTTCTCGAAACTATTCTACCTATCTCTCTCATGTTTTCTTTTTTTTCTTTCAGAAAAGAAGGAAGTAATAGTAATATAGTAGTAGTAAAAGAAGAAGAAGAAGAAGAAGAAGAAACGAGTTGCATTAGATTGGTCACGCATCCTAGTTTCAAACCATGTTTTTAAAATGTAATAATATTATAGATTCACGTTTTACGGAATTTCATATATACATGCTTGACTAAATAATAAATAAATTAATAAATAAATAAATAAGAATGTTAAATAAATATATATATATATATATATAAATAAATAATATATAATATAATATAATATATAAATATATATAAATAGAAAAACTAAACTAACTTGAGATACTAAAGATACTAACTTAACCTAACCTAAGATATTAAATAAATAATAATACTAATTAATCAAATAAAGATAAAATAAAAAAAGGATAGAGAGAGAGAGAGAGAGAGACAGAGATTGATAGATAGATAAAAAAAAGAAAACAGATGATTATTATTATTATTATTATTATAATAACATATCACGTTTCATTTTATATTCCCATTTAATCTTTACTTGTGAATCTTTCAAAACCACATTATCTTATCTATGATATTAATATACTTATTACACGTACACATAAATATATATATATACATACATATGTGAATGTATATGCATGCATTTTTTCCCTATCACGACAATGATAATTAAATAATAAAAAAGAACAAATAATTATAAAAAATGAATCTTCATTAAACGACAAACATTAATAAACATATAATAAATAATAAATAATACAAATGTTTTCTTGATTGAATTAATCAAATTCTCGATTCAACAAAATAAATAAATAAATAAATAAATAAATCATAAAAAACTATAAAACATCAAATGACACTCTCCAAACAATTCTAGAAACAATTTTTCCTCCAACAGAATGCAATGTACGTTTTCATAATTATTAAATAAATAAATAAATAAATAATAATAATCAATTAGATTCCTAAATATCCCTAGATACACATAGATAACAATAGATGTAATCATTGATAATAATTATCGTCCAAATTGCACTATTGAAGAGAGATGAAAACAAACCATCATCCTCCTACCTTAACCCTTTCTCTCAAACAAAATCCCTGATACTAATCTTCATCTAAAACGAAACTAAAAACCTCGTTAAGAGTTTATATATCCATTATCGATTCTATTCTCTCTCTCTCTCTCTCTTTGTCTCTCTATTTTATTTTTGATTATTTTTTGTAGTTCTTTTTAATTCCCTAACCTATACTCTCTTCCCCCACTCTATCACCTACCCCCACCATTCGCTCTATTCTCTATCTCCTTCTGTACTTTTCTCTTTTTTTTTATTTTCTTTC